TAATTTCCACGAACAACGTTTTTGTCTTTTTATTTAGAAAGCAAATAAATTTATTTAGAAACTCAAGGTTTCTACTTAATAAGCCCTGTTTATAGGTGCTTTTTGTTGATATAGGAAAAAGGAAACATTTGTACATTCAGGCAGAGCTGAACCATCTAGATAACTTGTTTTCTAAGAGCAGGTCATTTGCAGGAACGGTGCGCTTTATGTTTGTAGATTGTGTTGAGTTGTTCCCTCAAGCGTGTGGTGAATGCAAACGCGTCTGTACTTTCAGAAGAGGCAGGAACACTGTGTCTCACCTTTACTGCACTTTCCTACAGGAGCCCAACAGAAAGTTAACAAGCCAGGTCTCTGTACAGCATTGGTCTAATTGCATACTGCAGATTAATTACCAATCACAACCTCATAATTATGCAAAGTAGCCGCTCCTGACTGCCCACCCCATCCACCCGCAGCACGTTAACTGATAAAAGACGGTTATCGTGCTTCAGTGCTACAGACCTGCACTGCAAAAAAAAATCGGTGACATTTACGGTAAAATACCGGCAGCTGTGGTTGCAGAACTTCACCGTTAAAAATATGGTAGAAACATTTTAGGTTTTACAGACTTAGCTTAAATTCACAATAAAAAAACGTATTTAATTAACTGATGTAATGTTAATAAACCAACATATTGAAGTACTAATATCTGTTTTAAACCATTAAAATGCTGATAACCACCAAAAACAGGTGGTGATGAGAAAGTCACATGATGAACCAAAGCTCATCACAATCAGCTCTTCCAAAAGCTGAGAAGGAAAATACTAATATATATACATAGAAGGTACACAGTGTCATTCACACAAACACTAAACACCATCATGGTGACACACATGATACTGAAATAATGCAATAAACATTCATTTAACACATTAGATTTAAGATAAAACACGAATGTACACAACTGATAAGAAAAAACTAAGAAGAAACATAGTTATTTCAACGAAAAAACATAAAATATGAAGCGTCATGCAAGGATTTCTGGGAGTGTCAATTTACAGTTTTTCACTAAATTATACAATTTTCTTTTTCACCTCCAAAAACCGTAATTTTAACAGTATTTTACTGTAAAATTACATTAAATGTAATTACAGTTATTCACCGTATATAGTATGGAAACTTACTGATAACCAGTTAACAGGTTTTTATTGTAGCCTTTTTACAGTCTTTTACTGTTAAAATCACAATCATTTTTTACAGTGTGGAGCTTATTCTGTTCGATCTGGAGGGAGTTATTGATGAACAAACAACAGGAGTTCAGTTTAAGTCATGTTTGTGTTTAATGAACAAACTATTTTCCGGGTCAAATAAAATGCATTACCACTGGGAACGTTTAAACGTAGTGGTAATCCCAAATAACCCCAAGCGGAAGACCCTTAATGTTTTAGCCGATTATCATACTGGAAGCATAATAAGTGTTAATTAAGTAAATTGTTAAGGGATTTAAGTGGCACTGAGGAGTCAGTGTTAATTACGACCAACTATTTGTCTTGAAACAAATTAATTTACGAGTTGAGATCTTTATTTTGTAACAGCTTCTATTATGGTTCAGTGATATAGCTGAATAAATATACATATCTTAATTTTTCTTAATGAGTGCAAATAGTAATTTTCACTAAAGGAACACCAGGGAAAATTATACATAATCGTTTGTACATATGTGCAACAGCAATAATATATTTACCTACATATGCTACCGTTTAACCGTTTGGAGTCTGTAAGAATTTGTAATGTTACTCTCACCAAGGCTGCATTTATTTAATTAAAAATACAGTAAAAACGTCAATATTGTGAAATATTTTTACAATTTCAAATAACTGTTTTCTATTGTAATATATTGTAAAATTTAATTTATTCCTGTGATCAAAGCTGTATTTTCAGCATCATTACCCCCGTCTTCAGTGTCACATGATCCTTCAGAAACTATTATCATTCTAATATGCTGATCTGAAGCTCAGGAAACATTTCTGATTATTATCAGTGTTGAAAACAGTTGTGCTGCTTCATATTTTTAGTGAAAACCATCATGCATTTCATTTTTCAGGATTCTTTGATTAATAGAAAGTTCAAAAGAAAAGCAATTATTTGAAATAGGAATCTTTTGTAACATTATAAATGTTTTTACAGTCATCTTGATCGATTTAATGCATTCTTGCTGTATAAAAATATATATTATTGACTCCAAACTTTTGAAAAGTAGTGCATATTTTTAACAAAAAACATATCAAACAAACATTTTTTGAGGGATGACACAAACAGAGTCTTAAATCAGTTCACACAACTTTAGACATGAAAAATAAAGAATCCTACCAAATCAAATGCCATTTTTGCGACTGATGAAACACCTAAACTGACTCCTGTTCTCACAAACATCAAACTGTTGTAAATGCAAAATGGGTTGATAATAATTTTGATTCACTTTCTCACAAGAGACTGTACATTTTAAATGTATCTGCAAATGTTTCTTTATTATATGCTGTAAGCAAAATCATTGCAGAAATCCTATATATATCAACCTATTTTCTGAATGTGGTGATGCCCAGAGCAGTGATTCAGAAACTCGTTGACTGACAGAAACTTTGACACGGAGCTTTAATTAGAGACAAAAGTGTGACTGAACTGTTTCAAAGAGTCGTCAGAACTCCGCTTGAGTCTGTCTGGACTTTGACAAGACAACCGTCAACACGTTTCTGATCAATTAATCAGTGTTAAAGTCCCCATCTGCTCTCTGCAGGGCTCTGCGCCCAAAACAGGAACAACATTTCTGTAATATCAACTGTTTTTCCTAGACAACAACAAGATCACATCAGATTTAATGAGAGACTTCTACTTCTCAGATATTTATCCTCAGAAAAAGAGCCCAATCTCACATTCAGAGAAGGGATTTCAACATCTCAAGCCAAGAAAGTCTTCAATTAAACTTCATAGAACTCATTGAAGACAAAACACTGCTCTGTACTTTTGCTGTAAGTCTCAATATGTCAAAAATGTGTGTATAAATGTTTTTCTCCTAAGGCTTTTTAGGAGAAAATACGCGACAAAGCTGATTCTTAAAATCTATTTTCTAAATACATGTTATTGAACTTGTGAACAATTCAAAATCAAAATCTCATAACTGTAGCTTCCCAAATCATTTAGTCGTAAACCCCACCCCCATGTTTAAACTCCGCCCCTGCCACATTTGAGTGCCACGCCCACATCTCAACACCCAATCAGCACCTGATGCATTAGAACCAAATCTATAAAAGAGCAATATCTGAGTGGTTTTGGCCGGGAGGCCCATGGTTCACCTGTGCCAACTGGGACTGGCACATCTCCGCACCCTTCATTTCCTCTATTTCTATTAAGTATGTCTAAACATCCACAGTCCATTTGTGTCTACCAGGAGAATAACCCTCCACTCACGCTCATATTTCATTCAGATATTGCACAGAGCATGCAGAGTTCACGTTGGAGCCGATGCAGTTTTTTACGTAACAAACCATATTAGTTAAAACACTGAGTATTTGTAGAGCAAATAACTTAAAAAATATTAAGATCTTGTATATTTAACTATGGAAGCCCATTTTTGCCAAAGAAGCAAAAACTCATGCTTTGGTAAATCTTGGTAAATTAAATATTATGACAAATTATGAAATTCTAAGTCATTACTTGTGAGATAAAAAGTTGAAATTGTGAAATGAACTGTTTAAATTCATAATTATAACAAATATTGACTGTTATTTTGATTTTTACATCATAATAATGACTTTTATTTAATTTTTTTCCACTTATGTCATTACATTTTTTTGTCACAATTATGACTTTTTATCTCAATTTTGACTATGTCATAAATGACTTTTACATCATTATTTAGACTTTTTATGTCATAATTAAGAGTTTGTATCTTATGATTATGGCTTTTTATCTCATAATGACTTGTCATAAATATAATTTTTTGTCATAATTATGACTTTTTATCTAAATTTTGACTAGTTATGTCATAATGACTTTTATGTCATAATTAGGATTTTTTTTATCTCAATTTACTTTTCCTCTCAATTTCAATGTTTTATGTCATAATTATGACTTATCTCATAATAATGACTTTTTATGTTATAATTAAGAGTTTTTATCTCATGATTATGACTGTCATAATTATGAATTTTTATGTCACAAATTACTTTTTTATCTCAATTTACTTTTTATCTCATAATTTAGACTTTTTATCTCATAATTTCTGACTGTTTTATGTCATAATTATGACTTTTTATCTCATCTTTTCTGACTTACCACATAAATATGACTTCTCGTAATTTCTGACTTGTGTCATAATTATGACTTTTTATCTCATAATTTCACATTTTATTACTTTTTATATCAAAAATAATAGAGCCTGACCGATATGGTTTTTTTGGGGGCTGATACTGATACCGATATTAGGGAGTAAAAAAGGCTTGAGGCCTCGAGATGTACACTCGATTCGGCGTTCGAGAGGGTTCCTCGAGCTGAAGGGATCCCCCGAATTTGGTGCGGATCCGCCGTGCCGTTACGGAGATATGGCCGTTCAAAGTTTCAATGGTATTCCATACAGTTAAGCTTTAAAGAGTTTCATCCAGGTCACCAGTAGCAAACAATGGAGCACGCTCTGCTGGACAAACTACGTAATTACACCATTTACAAGCATTTTATCTGAGTTTTATGTTCCATAAAAAAATACAAAAATTCATACCATTGGCATATCGGCGGCATATTCGCCGATACCGATATATCTGCGGCAGGCTCATATCGGCCGATAAAATCAGCGAAACAATATATCGTTCGGGCTCTAATAACTATAATAATTTACCAAAGCATGATATTTTTTTCTTGTGTTGTGGAAATGGGGTTCCATATCTAACAGATTTGATACATATGGCTCTTTGTGTAGACACCTTTGATGGGGTATATATGTGAGATTGTAGTGGTGTCTGTTGACGTACCTCTTCCCACTGGTGAATGTAGCGGATAAGCCGGGAGAGACGCAGCAGCCTCAGCAAGCTCAGGATTTTAGTGAAACGCACAATCCTCAGCGCTCGTGCTGTTTTATACACCTCAGAGTCTATGCCCTTCTCCACGATCAGGAAGATATAATCCACCGGAATGGACGAGACAAAGTCCACAATAAACCAGGTCTTCAGGTACTTCTTCTTGATGGTCTTGGGGTCCAGGATGATATGGAGTGGGAGTATTGAAATAAATATGCATCAGTTTCAGGTTTTCTATGGAGACGATGGAAAATGATACGGATATGAGCATGTTATTGCACAGCTTGGCTAAACGCAGAAATTGCATGCACGTTTTCATCATCAACAATTTCTGTTCATTATCTGATGATGTGTCAATGTCAAAAAAAATCCTAATTAAATCACACAAGCACAAGTACTGCAGCATACAGTGATCTACATCCAACATAATCATTTACTCACATGTTGCATAAATGTCAAATGCAACCTGATGCATGAACCCTGTGCAATGCAAAGCTTATGTAAAGAGTCATCCAGTAGTTTTCTTAGCATGCAAAACATTTTGAGTCCAGACTGACTGTGGAGCTGAAACGATGTTCCTCACAGCATGAGCATCTGTAGAGCAACACCTAAACTGTATTTATTGAGGATAATGCTTCAGTATTTTAAAATTGTGATTATATCTCAAAATATAATTCAGCATGATATCTACTAGACAACATGTGCTTATGTGCTTCAATGTATTTGGTCTCACATTGCTATCTAGTCAGGTAGAAATACATCTAACTCAGCGTGGATAAAAATGCTTAGGTGCCATAATGTGTATGCACACACAAAAAAAAAAATCACAATGCTATTGCTTTTTTGTTTTGCTTTTTAAACCATATATCCTGGTTAGATTACATCCCTCGATTTTATGAGGATAAATATGAATAAATATCACATAAAAATGCTTCTTTTTGGAAGTGTGTGTATACGTTTTAATTGCTTTCGAGGGTCAAACTGTGGAAAGTGTCTTTTGAGGACATTTTATTAAAAATACACTGAAATGTCATAAATGAGCCAAATCATATTTAGTTTTAAACTACTGATCAACAGGTTTAGGGTTCAAAAGTATTAAAATACTTTTATTATTAATGCTAAAAATGTCATCATTAGCATACATTGGAGAAGGCATCTGTTGCTTTAATAACAGAAGTACTGGAGCTGACATAAAAAAGTCACTAATAGGGAAAGATCTTAAAACTCTCTCGTGCATCTTAAATATTGCTTAAATGTTCGAAAATCGAGATGGAAAAAGCACACTTTTCATTCACGGGTCACATTTGATCCAATAGATGCCACATTCTCACGCAAAGTTTCTCCAAGCAGTCGCTCTTACCTGAAGTCGCTGTAGGGGTGAATGATCCAGTTGCCGGCCGATTTCACGCGCTCCTGCTCCTTCTCCACCGCCTTCTGGCTCCCGTACATGCGCAGGGAGAATTTGTTGACCCCGGGCTGCAACATGCTGCTGAACTGCCGCTGCATGAAGCTCGCCTGGCTGCCCCGCGTCTCGCCGTCCTCCTGCGCTCCATCCTCGGATTTGAGGAAAGTCACCGAGTTGCGGGGCTGCTGCGCGCCGTGGATGGAGGACGAGGCTTTCCTGCTGGGGGCGTTGGAAAAGGACACTCTGGAATCCTTCTTCTCCGGGACGCCGGGGTTCGAGGCGTCCTGCCCCTGCGTGCTGACCGCGTCCACGCTGGTCGTTGAATTGCACGCCGCCCGCTTGCTCCCGTCGGGTTTGGACATGATGGACCGGAGGCTCCCGGTGCCGGAGTCCCGCCTGCACTCCCCGTTCTTGTTGCATTTCATGCTGGAAAGCGGTGCTGAGGGATTGGCGTCGCCTTCGGCAGCATTACAAGCCTCTACCGTCACGGTGGCCACTACGGTAGACGCTTTGCCTCCTCCTCCTCCGCCCTTAACGGTGTCGCGGCGACCCGCAGGAGCAGCATCAGCATCACCCAGGCGCGCATCGGTGGAAGTGGAGCTCCTGGACGCTCCTCCTCCCGGTGCGCAGCTCTTAATCTGGACGCTGCTCCCCCCTCCTGCTCTCCTCAGGCGCGGATGCTGAAACTTGGATTCCTCCTCCGCGTCGTCGGTCTCCTCCGTGGCGACGTGATTGGCTTTCAGGTTCGACCCCGCGGCATCCGAGTTGGACTCCAGGCAACTCTTGGCGCAGTGGTACGCCGGCGCGCTCTTATGGGCCGCTTTCTTGGTCATGGCAACATCCGAACCGGGAGAGAGCTCATTCCGGTCCATGTCATTCACCGGATCAGATCTGGCCTGTAATTATCTTTGCGGGAAACCAATCAGCAGGAATGATGGGTGAGAGAGAAAGAGAAAGAGAAATAGAGAGAGAGAGACCTGGTGATTTCTTTGCCAACAAAATGCTCTCAGTTTATTAACTGTTTGTTGGGTCGCTCTGTGAGTGCATTTCAATAAGTACATATATAAAAGATTTGAAACATTCTGTCAAATAAACATCATCTTTTGAGTCGTTTCAAGATAAATTAATAAACAATAACAGGTTGCGATTGGCTAAATGTCTTCATAATTGTAGAGGTTTTAAAGCTATTCAGCTCATTCAGGCCTTGTGCTCAAGGTCGTGACATTTTTAAATGCTTATTAGAAAGAGAATCCAGTTCTGATATACCAAAATTGGTGATAAATCAGCACTGAATAATAATAATAATAATAATAATAATAAAAACAACCTAAACTAAAATCATGGATACTTGACAAATATGAACTTCCTACACTCAGAAAAAAGGTACAAAAGCTGTCACTAGGGCGGTACCTTTTCAAAAGCTACTACTTTGTACACTTTAGGTACTAATATGCACTTATTATGGTAAATAATGTACAAAGATGTACCTTTTTCAAAGGTACCGTCTCAACTTTTGTACCTTTTTGTCTGAGAGTGTAAAATGATGGTAACGGCACAGAGTTGGCATATTAGTCACAGGTCAAGTGTTTTAATAACACGTTTTAATGTCAATTAAAATAGAATTTATAAACTGAGATAAAAGAAAAACAAAATACTACCAAAACTGGGAGAAATTTGGAAACACTGATCTGGGAACAGGCAAAAAAAACTCCTACATATAAAGAAAACATTTGAAAATAAACCTTAATGCATTGTTTTTGCACGCACGTAATAGCATAAAACGAGAGCCACATTAGTTATGTAGGCCTATGCATATACACTAGCAGACGAAAAAAGCACGTTTCGTTCTGTTCATCTATTGTCTTCACTGTTCTACTGACTTAAAAAGTAATCAATCAATCTGTCGTGTCTGTGCAGAACTCTATAAATGACTGAGGTCGCATGCATAAACAGATGGCTGGAATATTTGTAGTTACTATTGTCGCATAAACAGTCTGGCACTTTTTGTGTCTAAAAACTGCAGCTGTCCTCATGGCGTTATGATGTCATAACAGCAGAGGATGGGCTCAATGACGATCACCAGATCGCAGTCAGACTGCCGCGTGGCGCCACCTACCGGCGCACAGGGGGAACTACAGCCGCTCACACAAAACGGCTCCGGACAGCCACTCGGACTGGAGTCATTCAGCTTCAAACACCTGTTGAATGTCTTCAGGAACCCCAAAGCACAAATACACTTGTCAGATCTCCAACAGAACAAATACAGAGTGTCATTTCAAGAAGAAGAAATATGACTATTCTATGACCTCATCTGCCCAGATGTTCTCAAAACCAATGTAGCAATAATCTTCAGAAGTATTTTATATCAAACACTCTCACGGAGAAAAAAAAATGTGCAAAAGCTGTCAATAGGGCAGTACTCTTTCAAAAGGTACTAATATGTACACTTTAGATACTAATGCGTACATTTAAGGTACTATAGGGGTAAATAAGTTACAAATGTATACTTTTTGAGTGACAGATTTTGTACTTTTTTTTCTGAGAGTGAACATACAGATGTTAGCTGAAATGTTCACACATGTTTGCCATGAAAAAAAACAAAAAAAGAAATTCAGCAGGACAAGACAAAGACCACATTTTTGCAATATATTGATATATTTATCAAAATATTAAAACATACAAATATAAAAAATTATAATTAAATATATTAATCACAAATATAATTACACTTCATATTATAGGATAATAACTTTTGAATTTTCCAAACAGTGTTATTTCAGTAACATTAAGATAAAAACATATAAAAAACTGAAATAATTGTACATTTAAATTGAACTAAAACTGAAATTACTGAAAACTATGTTAAATATAAAAAAACTGAAATAATTGTACATTTAAATGTAACTAAAACTGAAATAAAAATTAATGAAAACTATATGTTAAATATAAAAAAACTGAAATAATTGTACATTTAAATGTAACTAAAACCGAAATAAAAATGAATAAAAACTATATATTTTTAAATATAAAATGTAACTAAAAGTTCAAATTATATATATATAATTATTTTATATAATATAAATTCATATATATATTATATTCGTTTATGTCAAGTGAACTTAAATTAACAGTTGCGATTATTTGAAGTAACATTTTTGATGGTTTTAATATAAATTTCCGTTTTCATGTTAATTAACTATAATAACCTTGCATGGTTGCAGAGCATTCTGTGCTTCAATGGAAGAAGTTGGTTTTCTGCATAATCTGAAATATTTCCTCATTTTACATCATCATTTTTCCAGGTTTAAAAGGGGGGGGGGGGGGGGGGCAACACACACACAAC